TCTAAGAGCCCTACTCAAGAGGGGCTGGAAAAAGGTTAAAAATATCCTCATGTTTACATTCTTCCCCGCCTGCCTCCTGCGCCCCAGTGCCAAGCCCCTTTGATCAGGTCTTGTGCCTCTGGACAAGGCCTGGGAGACAGGGAGCGTGAGCCCCGGGCTGGCCTACCCCATAACCCCTTCTAGTGCCAGGACTGGAAGACCCCTGGGGACCACAGAATAGGAGCGAGCTGAGCTTGGAGCCAAGAAGGTGTCTCACCCAGAAGGGCCCCTCGCACGCCCCCTCCTGAAAGCAGCAGTGGGGACGGTCACGTGTACTGGTCATCTGCTGTGCTGCCCTGCAGGACAATGTCATGCAACCCTTCCTCCGCAGTCCCTGCAGTGAGAGCCATTCTACCAAGCCACCCAAGACTCAGAGAGGTGCAGACTTGTCTGGGTGTGCACACCACTAACAAGGGAGAGCTGCTCCCTTCCTCCCAGCTGTCCCCCCACCTTGTCCTCACAGGGCCTGGGCTCACTCTCAGGAACCGCCAGCCAGGCAAGAGATCAGTAGCCGCCACAGCTTCCACACCCTGTGCACCCTGGGGACACGCCAGGTGCCCTCCCTGACCCTTGCAGACCCAGACCCAGAGTAGGGAAGGGGCAGTTGATGACCATGCTTCTCAGGCCGATGGAGCCTTTCCTTGTCCCGGGGGCAGGGGTTTGTGAACCTGTGGTCAGCCCCTTGGTCAGGGAGTGGTCTGGGGGCTGGAGGAAGCCTTCAAACTGGGGCAGACGTCTGGATTTCCCCTGGTCTCCCAGGATCCATTCTTCGTTTTGTTGGTCCCCCTGCACCCAGCCGCCCACCTAGCCACTCATCCAGCACCAGATCTCAGAAAGCAGGGTGACGCCAGGGTCCCCACTCAGCTGGTGGCGGCATAAACTCAGGGAGGTCCTTTCACCTCGCTGGCATCGGCCTTCCCAGCTTCCCACGGGGCTGCCCTCCCAGGGGGTCTTCGAGGCCCTTCTGGGGGTCCTTGTGGCATCTGGGACCAGATGAGGGCTGTGGGTGCTGCTGGAGAAGCAACACCCACAGTTCTCCCTTGTGCCCTGGTTCCAAGCCTGCCGTCTGAACCTCCCAGGCCTCCAGTTCCCTGCACTGGGAAACTGGGCCCGGGAGCCGGCCCTCAGGGTAGACAGAGGGTAAGATAGGAGGCTGCCTGTAAAGGGCTCTGTACTCTGAGGACTTGTGAGGGGGTGCATGCCCAGCGGAGGACGCTGGGAGGAGCAGGGAGCTCCGTTGGGTGGGGTTGAGCTTCCAGTGGGGGGTGTCTGGACCCTGCATGAGGCACCCAGGCTCCTATGGGCCAGGCTCATGCCCCTCCTGTCCCTCTTGGCTGGGCTTGGCCTCTGTCCCACAGCATCTGCCAGGAGTGGAGATGACCTCCTAAAAATAGGCCCTGGGCCCCACAGAAGTTGTTTTTCTCCCTTCCCTGTGATTTACCTTCAGCAGCTCAGGGTGCCTGGGACAGCAAGCCCCACCCTACTGCCCCAGGGACCGTTGGAGGGAGAGTGGAGAGGCCAGCATGTGCCTCCAGGGTCGTGAGTTGGAGGTCCTTCGGGTGGTGTGTCGGGTGCAGCCAAAGCCCGAGGCAGGAATTCAATGATGGCTCCTTGGGGTGGGTCCATGCCCCAGCCTAATGGTGTCCTTTCTCTGCCTTTCTGAATGGGTTCCCCACGATGTGTTTATCAATCACCCCTTGTGCGTGAAGCGCAAAGGGGCTTTGAACCTGTTGGGGCTGCAGACTCATCCCTAAGCTGGTCCACAGCTCCCCTTCCAGCCTGGCAGCCCATCCCCTTGTGCAGATGACCCAGGCCCAAGGACAGAGAAGATGACATCCAGGAAACAGAGAGATGGCCCTCACAAGGATGCCCCTCCCAGCCCTGGACAGGTGGCCAATAGGCTCCAGCCCTTAGGATGGCCCAGGGGACCCCAGGATGTCTCTTGAACCCCCAGCCCTGTCCGTGCCACCGGGGAAGGAGATGGGATGAATGTCAGGACTGAGTGCACTCACACACACAGGCACACGCACACACGCTCAGTCCCTGGGGCTCATGCCCAGGCCCGGAGGCTTTATTTCTCAGCAAGCTCGCCGCCCCTCGGAACGCTCCTGTCCCACAGGTCCAGCTGCGTCTGGGGTGCTACCCCTCAGCCCCCTGCCCCATCTCCCTACTGCAGTGGATTCAGATGGAACCAGCGAGCAAGCTCCCAGACAGGGCTGCTGGGACTGATCAGACGACCACCTTCAGGGGCACACTGTCCACTGGCTGATCCAGGTCCTTCTTTCTCGACATGGCCAAGTGGGTGAAGATGAGGATGAGGATGAAGCCTGAGGGGCCCAAGAGAGATGGATCAGCCCTCAGAAGGGGCTGTGGGACCTGCCCGCCGGGGGAGTATTGGTGTCATGGTAAGATTTCCTAGAAGCTCATCTACTCGTCCTCACTAGGCCACCAATTCACCCAGGCCTCTCCCGTTTGAGAGCAGGTTGGGTGGGGAGACTCTGGGAGCCAGTGGTTGTCCCTTGGGCCGCGGAGAGAAGGCTAGAACTGACAGGAAGTGCCCCATCTGTTTCCAAACCAAATCCACCCTCAATGAGTCGATGCTGACTCAGAGAGAGCCTATAGGACAGGGCAGAACTGCCCCCGTGGGTTTCTGAGACTGGAACTCTACAGGAGTAGAAAGCGCTGTCTTTCCCCCTCGGAGCAGCTGGTGGTTTCAAACTGCTGACCTTTCTGTTAGCAGCCCAACTTGTAACCGCTGCGCCACCAGGAGCCCCCACCCCACCCCCAGTCAGGGTGGAGCTAAAGAAATTGAGTGAATGGAGAGGGTAGCTTGGACTGAGGAATGAGGCTGCAGGGACCAGGCCTCTGCCGCCTTCTGGCTGGGTTAGCTCAGACAAGCCGCTGGACCTCTCTGAGCCTCGGTGAGGTGAGGTCATCCAGAAAATGGGGCAGTGCCAGGGCCACCTCACAGGGTCTTGAGGAGGAGCCCATGAGGTGATCCACGTGATATGCTTGGGTCATCAATGACGGTGACTGGGGACCAGGAGAGCTGGGGGCCCTAAGGCCAGGGTTCTGACCACCCATCACCCCCTCCCACCCCACCCCCAGAGGAACTTGGCTTTGTTTGTTACCGATCGCGGCCAGGGTGCCCAAGAGGATGCCCAGCGCCGACTGCTTTGTGGGCATGCCCTTCATGCGGCCCACCTTACGCAGACACTGCCCCTCCACGGTGCACCGACATACGGCCACTGCGGGGCAAGAGGAAGGCACGGAAGGTCAGAGGGGCCCCCCAGCACCTGGCTCTCCCCACCTCTGCTCAGCTGGCTGCTCTGTGTGCACGTGTGTGTCTATTATAGACTTGCAGGTGTTCACAGGTGCATGCCGTGAGGCTTGAGGAACCCTCTGTGGCTGCACCTGGGCCCCGGCCTCACCTTGGACCAGGAGTTGCCACTTGAGGTCGAGGCGGCTGACCACAACAGGGATGACGTGCTTCTGGGGTTCCACCCAGTTCAGGGCCAGGCTGAGGTAGGCATGGGAAGCTGTGGAGAGGGCCGGTGGTTGGGTGGGGGGAGAAGGGGGAGGGAAGTCTGGCCCCCTACCACTGGAGGGCTTCTCACCCATAAATGCCCCCCCTCGTCCACCCCACACACCGTTGAGGGCCTGGAGGTGCCAGTCCCGCTGCACTGTTGGGTCAGGACCAAGGGCAAAGCTGTAGGGACCCTGCCCACTGGCCGGGTCAGGGTCTCCGCTGGCTCCGTTGACCATCACGCCTTGGTCCTGGCGGGGCGTGCAGAGGTGTCGGGCGGGCACAGGGGCCGGAGCTGGTGGGGTCCCCAGGAAGTGGAGCACCAGTGGCACTGAGGCGCTGGGGCCCCGCTCATCTGCAGAGGAGGCAGCGGATTCCGTGGGGGGTGGGGCAGTAAGCTCAAGGTAAGCTTCCAAGTTCCAGGCCCAGGGACCCCTCCTGCTGGCCTCCCCCGCCAGAACCCCAACCCCACCAGCATCGCCCAAGGCACTGCCCCTGTACTGACCCAACAGCTGCCAGGCTGCCCCTGGCACTGCCGCCATGGTCCACCAGGCGGAGACGCCTGGTGCCACAGGACAGCCCAGCGGAGAGTTGATGCTGCCCCTGACATGCTCACCAGCTGGCACCACCTCAGACACGCCCACCAGGGCCACCACAGGTATCCTGTCCCCACCTTGTTCACACCTGGCTTCAGGTACATCAGTCCTGGCCCACAATCCAGGCTAACCTGCCTCACTCCAGCCCTGTCCTGTGTCCCCGGTCCCATGCCCTTCACCCTCCACCTGCTCCGGATATCAGATGCCCTCAGGGGCCCTCTGGGAGCTTAGAAGTTTCCCTGGAGGATGGGTTTGAGTGCCAAGCTAGCGGGCTGGTCAGGGAGGCCAGGCGTGCCCAGGCCCATTCGCAGGGTCCACTCAGCCCGGGCTGGGTGGGTGCCTGCCAGGCCTTCTGGGAGGACGCTCAGCTCTGATTGTCGGAGGCTGGCTCTTCCTCCCAGGGGGTCCCTGCCCCACCGGAGGGTACCTGCATGCTGGACTGCCACGAGCACTGTGTACATATCCCCGGGGTGGGCGCCCTGCAGGGACCGGGCTGTGTACACCTCCCCTGAGGCCTCCTTGATGCAGAGCCAGCCCTTTGAGTCATTGACCAGGGAGAACCTGGGGCCCAGAGAAGGTGCAATGGGGAGAGAGGAGCTGGGGTCACACTCCGGGATCTCGACGTGATTTCCCCAAGTTCCACATTCTCGTCTGTAGCTCCAAGGTGGCAGCAGTGACCAGGTCCCCAGTCCCTTGGCCTCCTCCCCCACCCCCACCCCCCACCCCAGGGCCTGGAAAGGTGACTGAATCAGGACTGTGGGACTCTGGGTGTCAGAGGTGGCAGGCCTGTCTGTGCCCCAAACCAGAGAGCAAGAACCTCTCCTACTGGGAAGCCTTACTCCCCAACCCTGGTCCCAGGCACCCCACAAAGGGGCAGAACCTAGAAGCAGCCTCCTCTCTGTGGCAAAGTGAGTGGGGGTCTGGGGGCAGCTCCAGTCCCTGAGCTCACACAGAGGCATCATCTGAGCTCCTGTGGGGTTCAAAGCCGTGACCCCCATCCCCATCCCCACAAGTTGCTCCTTTGGCATTAGTCATGCTTTGAGGAATATTCCAGACTCCCCGGAATGTGACCCAAGCCCTGGGCCATCTCTGAGGAGCAGGGGAGGGACCAGCCCAGGTGCGGGGTCAGTGTTGGCTCACCTGAGGGGGCTGCTCATGGGGACCAAGGGCTGGATGGTCAGCAGGAGGGAGCCGGCTGGGGTGCTGACCCGGACACCAGCCTCGTAGCTGTCCTGGTCTAGCTGGGGAGGGGACACCCTCTCCACGAGCACCATCACGGTGGCCGTGGACCCAGGGCCTGGGTCCGGCCCCACCAGCTCCACCACGCTCCGCACCACCACCAGCAGCTTGTGGCTCGGAGCTGTTTCATAGCTGAGTTTCTAGAATTCCAGGGGGCCTGTGTTAGGATCCAGACAGTGCGCAGGTGTGGGCCCCACCACCTGCCCATCAGGCCCTTACCTTGCGGAGCCGGAATTGGGCTTGGCCGGTGCCTGGTTCCCAATCTAGACTGAAGGTCCCCTCCACATCTCCCGCCACAATGGCAAAGTCCATGAGTCGGAAGTCGGGCTCGATGTCAGCATCAGTGGCCGTGAGGGTGGCCACCAGAGTCCCCGGCTCTGCATCCTCAGGGAGGCTTAGGGGCCCGATCTGGAGAGATGGGGTGAGGCCGTCAGCACCCCTCCCACCCACCCCCCACCCCAAGGTCTTCTCCCACCACTGCTAACCTGGGAGGTGGTGAACTCAGGGGCGTGGTCGTTGATGTCCTTGATCATGACAGTGACCTCACACGTGCTGCTGAGGCCTGAAGAAGAGGAGGACGTGCAGGGCGGTCAGAGCAGAAACAGAGGTCAGGGCGTCCCAATTCCCATCAGGGACTCACCGCCTTTGGCTCCTGCCAGGTCAGCGGCCAGCACCTGAAGCAGGATGTTCTGGCCAGCTTGGAGCGGGGCAGCCCCCAGAGTCACACTGCCCGAGGTGGGGTCCACCTCAAAGGCTCCCCCTTCTGCGTCCTCCTCAGGCTCAGGGTTCAGCAGCTGATAGACCACATGGGCATGAGGGGAGCCAGGGGCATCTGCGTCCTCTGCCGACAGCCTCGTCACCTCCGTCCCTGCGAGACAGCACCTGCCAGTGTGGGACTACAGTTCCTCCTGAGCTGGCCTTGTGTGAGCGTGTGTGGGAGGGTGTGTGTGTCAGCGTGAGTATAAGAGTGTGAACGAGGGTGAGAGAGTGAATGCATGTGTGAGAGGGTGTGAGTGAGAGAGTGTATGTGTGTCAGTGTGAAGGTGTGTGTGAGAGTGTGTGGGTGTGAATGTGTGAATGCGTGTGTGAGGGTGAGTGTGAGTATGTGTGAGAGAGCGTGCATGTGTCTGTGTGAGTGTGTGTAAGAGCGTGTGAGAGAAGGTGTGAGTGTGAGTGAGGGAGAGAGCATGTGAGTGTGAGTGTGGGTGAGAGTGTGAATACATGTGTGTGTGAGAGGGTGAATGCATGAGAGGGTGTGTCAGTGTGAGTATGTATAAGAATGCATGTGTGAGTGTGTGAGTGTGAATGTGTGTCAGCATGAGAATGTGAGTGTGTGTGTATGTGTGTCAGCGTGTGTGTGTGTGAATGCATGTGTGTGTGTGAGAGAGGGTGAGTGTGAGTGTATGTGAGGGTGTCAGCATGACTGTGTATAAGAGTGTGTGTAAGAGAATGTATGTGTGTGTGTGTCAGAGTGTGAATGCACTTGTGTGAATATGTGCGAGTATGTCAGTGTGTGTCAGTGTTTGTATGTGTAAGAATGTGTGTGTGAGAGTGCAGGCATGTGAGTGCAGGCATGTGAGTGTGTGAATCTGTCGGTGTGAGTATGTGTGTAAGAGTGTGAGTGAGAATGTGTGTATGAGTGTGTGTGACAGTGTGTTTGTGTGTGTAAGACTGTGTGCTTAAGAGTGTGAGCATGAGAGAGTATGTGTGTGTGTATGTGTGAGAGAGAGAGAGAGAGAGAGAGAGAGAGAGTGTGTGTGTGTGTGTGTGTGTGTGTGTGTGTGTGTGTGTGTGTTTTGGGGGTGAGACACTGATATGGGTAACTGAGGCTGGGCCCCCATCCCAGAGAAAAGCAATAGGATGGCTGGGTCCATGGGGACTTCACCTCTCCTCCATCCCCAGCAAAGCCCCCAGCTCACCTGGGGGACTGAGCTCAGGGATGCTGATGGGGAGGTCATGCTGGGGGCAGATAGGGGCGTTGTCATTCTCATCTGTCACCACCACCTGCAGCTGCAGAGCTTCGGTGTAGTCCTCACCATGGGGGTTCTGAGCCCGCACCTGGAGCAGGTACTGTAGTAGGCAGAGGGTGGGGGGCTTTGGGTGAGGACCAAGGGTCATCCAGCTTCACCAGGGTCTGGATTCCCTTCTAGAGGCTAGCTCTGGCTCTTCTGATTCAACTTCCCTGCCTAGGGGCTTTGGGGGCTGCGACATACCAGAAACCAACCCAATGGTGACCAAGTCCCCCCGCCCACTCTGCCTCCCTGGCTCCCTCTCACCTCACCTCAGCCTGGCGTTCTCGATCCAGCTCTCTGCTCACATAGAGGTTCCCCTCTGAGTTGACATCAAAGGGCCCAGAAGGCTGGCTCTCCAGATGGTAGTGCACATCCCCCCCACTCCAATGCACCTGGAGGTGGACACAGAATGAGGGCACGCCCACCAAGGAGCGGGCAGGGACAGCCCATGTCAGCCTGCCCCCAACTGCTTCCTGGCAGGGGAGCCAGAGTGACCCCAGGCAAGTGGCTACCCTGTCTGATATTCCATGGTGGCTCAGCCCTGATCCCCAAATATCGCAACGAATTCCAAACTCAACTCACTGTCAGCGAGTCCATTCTGACTCCGAGAGACCCTGGAAGACAGGGTGGAACAGTCCCTGTGGCTTTCCAGGAACGGATAGCCTCATCTTTCTCCAGCCCAGCGACTGGGCGGTTCAATCTGCTGACCTTGTGGGCAGCTCACTAGGCCACTAGGGTTCCCTCTCGGACTGACTAGGTTACTTTATTTTCTACCCTTTCAGACTGGGTCTGGCCCCAGGGCATTCCTAGAGAAGACCTGAGACATTCCTGGCCTAGGTGACAATCCCTTCTTGCTCAGTGACAGCAAGAAGTGGCAGCTGTTCTCCTGAGAAAACCTTGTACCAGCGCTGGAGGTCAGAGCTCAGAGGCAGGGCAGCCAGAGGATAGTAGGTGAAGGACGTGGCTCGGTCCCTGACCCTTGCGGACCCCACTCCATGGTGGGGACTAATGGGACTATAGGAGGGAGGTCCAAGGGTTACATGGGCCCTGGACTCCAGGTTTTCCAGACTCCAGGAAGCTGCTTCGGCTGCTGACAGCCAAGTACTCACCTGGGCAATGAGGTGCGGGTATGGGACTTGGAGATTCTCTGCCAGGTGGATGGGCTCTGGGGGTGCCCAGGTGTTCTCCACTATGGAAACAACTATGTTGGCTGTGGTCTGGTGACCTGAGGCCTGGTCGCCCATGTCCTTGACCTGTACCAACAGCTGGTAGGGCCCCTCCAGGGCCTGGTCTAGACTGGTGCTCCCTAGGAGGGGAAGGGTTGCCAGTTGAGCAGCGAGCCAAACGAAAAACTAGACTTGTGGAGGGTGTTTGGGATGCTCTCTTGCCCAGGGGTGAGAAGAAGGATGTTTAGCACTATTACAAGCATCCAACCAGGACTTGGCACTGTGCAAAGTCACTCCCATATCTATCCAATGAATGGTTGTGAATGGATGGATCAGGGATAGATGCCCAGGATGGGGTTGGGGATTGACAGGACAGGTTGGATGAATGAATGTTTAGATGGATGGGGGGTTGAGTGGGCGAATTGGTAAGTGTTTGGATGAAAGGATGGGTTTGAATGGATGGGTGGGGGAATGGGTTTGGATGGCTGGGAGGGTGAATGGGTTTGGATGGCTGGGTGGGTGAATGCGTTTGGATGGATGGGAGGGTGAATGGGTTGGGGTGGAAGGGTGAATGGGTTTGGATGGCTGGGTGGGTGAATGCATTTGGATGGATGGGAGGGTGAATGGGTTTGGATGGGTGGCTGGCTGGGTGAGTGTTTGGCTGGCTGGGCGGCTAGATAGATTGGATGGGTGGTTATGTGATAAATAGGTAAATGGGTAGCTGGGTGGGCAGATGGGTGTACAATTGGCTTCTCTTTTCATCTCCAATCCATGCCTTTGGCTGGACTCCCAGGTTCGCGCCCCCTCATCATCAGTCCCAAGTCCTCTGGCAGCCCTCCTTTCTATCCTGGTCCCTGAAGCCCAGGTGTCCAGCGCATCAGGCTGAGGGTCTCCACTCACACACACTGTGCATTGGCCCTGCCTCCAAGCCAAGCCTCTTGTCTTGCTTTCCAGCATGCCCGTCCCTCCTCCTCTGTCTCAGATTCCAGCTCCCACGGCACCTTTGCCAGCGTTCCCTGACCCTCCCTCTCCGTCACACTCAGGCTCACCCTCGGGGCTGAGGGCCAGAGCCCCCAGCTGGGGCTCCAGCTGGAACAAGTTTGGGGCAGGCTGGGCCGGGGCCTGGCTCAGGATGTGGAATCGGAGATCCGAGTTGGCTGTGCCTGGCTCGTCCCCGTCGGAAACCTCCAGGAAGAGGAAGGGGACACCTGTGTTTGTGGGGGAGGGTGAAGAGATGGAGGGAGGGAGACAAGCACCCTGGGCATCCCTTCTTACCCCCTGGTCCCTTCGTCTAGGTCCGGCACTTTGCCAGGGAGGGCTCTGGAAGCAAGCCAACCTTTCACCCCACTGCACAGAGGAGCAAATTGGTGGATGGGACCCACGGGAGGGCCTTCAGCAGGATCAGGGGCAGGAAGGAGAC